ATATACATGCATACATACAGGCTTACATACATGGATAGATGGATGGAATCGGTAAACACTCCCGAGTTCACCGCAGGTCTTGTTTCTGTCAACAAGTATTTACAAACTTGGTCAATCTGAGCCATCCTATTAGTTCTCTGTGAAAAGCACAAATGTTAGGGTTATCTCTAATAATTGGTTATATTTCCATTAATTATAGTGATTTTGCTATCACAGTAAAAACAACAAAAAAACTTTAGAAGTGTGTATAATACCTTAAAGTTGAACAGCCGTTATAGGCATCTGGATCTAGAAAAGTAGACATTGGTTGGATCCATATTTACAAAAGGAAGGAAAGACATTAGAAGCATTGAATTTTACAGATGTAGAATTTTGTAGCATCCTGATTTGTAGCAATAAGGAGCACTGAAGCTTCAACACCACGACTGCAAATGTAGCTTTAGCTGTTATCACTACCCACAATCCATCACTCTAATGAAGATCTGTCTGTGACTCCGTACCAGGAAGGACCCAGTAACTCTACCTCTATTCACCTGTTTATAATCGTTAGTTAATATTTTATATTTTACTTTTGCATATATGTACTCTGCTCAATACACTACCTTTGCTTTATTTTAATCTTTTCATTTTTTTATGAGATGTATTTTTGTATTACTGTATTACTCAGCTTGTAATAAAGTATTTCTAAACATTCTAATTGTTAAAATATGATATTAGAACATTACTATGTTTGTGTTTATTCTGATTTTCTGTTTACATTTTAGAAAGCAACAGAAGATCCAACATCAGATGTTTAAAGTGATTTATAAATGTCCCTCTAACCAATTTTTTTGTTTAGCAGAACCACTGAGGGACTGGTTTTAGCAGCAGTTTTAGTTTACTTATGGAAAATCTGTGGTGGGGAAAAAAAATATAAAAAGATTTTCAGGTCTTTGGGAAGAGAAAAAAAGCCCGCAGCATCACAGATCGGTTATCGTACGGTCGGAAGCCTCTTCTTATCAACGGTTGTTTGAGGCTCTGCTACTAAAAATAAATGAAATTATTTTAGCACTTATAAAACTCTTATACCAGAAGAGCCAATAAATGCCTTAAAATGACTTAAAGGTGCAAACTGAAGCTTTAAATATGAAAAAGAATCAAGATCCCTCTAAGAAAAGTTTTTCAAAGTGAGTGATGGAGGCTTACAGAGGTATGGACAGCGGCCAGTGTTCAAATTGAATCGTAGTAACGATGTAAAATCAACTTAGAGGACTGTGGAAGGGTTTGTTTAGTCGGTGCCAATTCCAAAACTGCAGCTCCTACAGGGACAGTGGGTACTTGGCTCTGACCAAAGACCAACACTCACAGAGAAATGCTTGTTATTCAGTCCAAGCTTATCTGAAGCCCAATGTTCAATGCCAGGAACATTTGAACACGTCTGGTAAGTGATTGATGTGGAGAGCATAGAATCAAATTGTTTGGCAAGGAATTAAGTGGTCGGAGAACTGTTTGCAGGTCAGAGTGTTTGTGTTTGAGTATGCAGCCATCGCTGTCGTTGTATATGATATATTTCAAGAGGATTTTTAAATCTGTTTTATTTTTAGGTTATTTGACAAGGAATGTTCCTCCAGATGAGAAATTAAGCTATCAACCTACATGCAAGCTCTGTTCTCTTTTATATTTTAACTCCATTTTCTGTTTTATCTAAAATAAAAAGGTCATTTAAAAAAAAGCCTGTCCTCTTATTGCCACCCACTGGGATTGACACAAAATGAAATTCATGGCCGCTATCAAAAAAACAGTCTTTGGAGACCAATTTGGGCTAGTAGTGAATTTAAACATGCTACACTAGTCCAGTAGTTGGTTTAAGACCCAACATGTTCAGCTTCTTATCTCTGTTGCCCATTTGGGATTTTGCTCACAGCTGTGGTTCAGAAGGTTTTCATTTTATGGCGTCTTTCAAAGCAAAAGCTGTCCCCAGTTTTCCTTTGGCCTTGCAAATTATCATAATTAGGTCTGAATCAGTAGGAAATTCTCCCTGCAAGATAAAAGATCTGTTTTCTGGTATTTACAAGAAAAACAAATATAAGTTCTTGTTTTTATTTCAATAGAAAAAACAATTATTACAATTACACCCTAAATGAGCAGAAATGTTGATTTTTGCACTCATGAAGTCGAAAATATTAGGTTTTAAGATTTTAAAACATGTTAACTACTACATTAGGCATTGTTAGCCATCTTTAAAGCATTCAAATTTAGTTTACGTCCGAATGTCCGCCCTAACCCCTAAATCCCTGCAGTGGGAAAGAAGTATTCAACCATTCACTTCAGGTAAATAAACAGAGATTGATGGATTTTACTCAGTTGGCACTTTATTTTTATCATTGCAAAGAGAAAACAGTTCATCTTAAGGCCCTTATCATAGGGTAATCAGCCCTGTTCTGCCTGGGCAGCGTTCATTCCGCTTACTTACAATAATGGAAAGTTGTCAGAGTCAAAACAAATTACACACACTTTGGTTAAACAGTAACATTTTATGAATAAACCTTGAGAAAGAATCTGTTTAATTCTTGTATAAAAACACCCTCACAAAGGGGAATTGTGTGGCCTTGCAGGTGAAACAGGCTGATTGAAAACTTTTATAGCAAGTAAATAGCATAAATTAATATATGAAATAAGAGAAACTAAATTTTCCGACCAAAATCCCTCAATCAATATAGAGCGTGGACTAGATAGTGAACTCAGATAACTGACCGTTGGGACAGATGATCACTACTTTTCGCTCCCCGTCGGTCACGTGACTCTGCCTCCCTGCACTGTGCCTGAATGGTAAAACTTATATAGCACCTGTATTCAAGTTAGGAGACTTGACCAAAGCGCTTTACACTACATTCACCCATTCACGCACACACTGATGGTGGCAAGCTACACTGTAGCCACAGCTGCCCTGGGGCTCACTGACAGAAGCGGGGCTGGCCTACACTGGCGCCACCGGGCTCTCTGACCACCATCAGTAGACAATCTAGGTGAAGTGTCTTGCCCAAGGACACAACGACACTGAAAGTCGGAGTCGGGGCTTGAACCGTCAATCCTTCGACTTCAGGGCAAACTCCTACATCCAACGCCACTGTCGCCCCAAAACCATCTTATTTGTCGCCGCTGTCGGGTAGTGACGGCCTATGGCGACAGCGGGCCGCCATGACAACAAATCCCACGATTCTTTTTGAGGAGGGTGTTAGATTCAAAATATTGTGAGTTCATTTTTCTTATTTCATATAGGACAAAAATGAATCTGAAGCACAAAAGGATTTTGCTTTTCCTGCAGGAATGAGAAAGGCTTTTATTCACAGAGCAGAAAACAGATGGGTGGGTTTTATGACCCTAGAATGACCAACTGGCTGAATGGAACTCACACAACAGTGTGACTTCCTCATGACCTACTGGATGCAGGTCATAAACGTTTATGACCCTCCTGACTGAATCACAGGACAGAAATGTAGCATCTTATTTCTTCAATGTTTCATATGCCCACACAATAATTTTATAATTGTCATTCAATAACTCTAACAGAGGGCTCTCCCAACAAAGCATTCTAGGATATATCTGCTCCTCTAGTGACTATGGATGATCACTACTTTTCAAGGTGCATTGTGGGAAATTTGAGTCCGATACTTTTTCATCCAGTAGACATTCACTCATCTAAAATGGCGTAACCACTAGGTAAAGCCCTATAGAGGGATTAGGGCTGACATTAGGGCACTACCTCACACTTTCAGATTGATTGATGGATTTTAGTTTTTATTGATGAGAATATGAAGATATATACCCATACGTTTCTGGGTTGTTTTTTTTTTTTTGTATTAAACCTTTTCAAACTTATCAGAAAATATTTTTAGCACCAGCTCTACACCTAATAACTTCATTACCAGAAATGCTAACTCAGCTAACTGCTAATACAAGATGATAAAAGTAATTAATCTTTATAACTCTGTAATCATCTCGTCTTTTTTATTAAATATTAGTAAAACCCTGTTTAATAACGAATGCTGTCCATCGCATTAATGACGCCAGCTCTGCTTCTGATTTCAAATGGCCATAAGAAAAAGAATAAAAAAGTAAAACCTGTTTTTCTAATGTCTTTTTAAAGTGTAAAGATATTTTTTTGTGGGTAAATCAGACATTGGCCACAAGTCTTTAATCAGTGCATTTATCTTATGAAAGATGATTGAGTTTTTCTTACAAATAATATAAAAAAAATAAAATGGAGTTTTTCAAAATCGTGCCACATTGGAGCACTTTAACATATTTGCGAAGAAAAAACTTATTCCCATGATGAAATAATATTCTCTGACATTGAAAAAATAGAAATTAGCATGAAACAACCTCTAAGGTTATTTTTAAAATTTATATAAGGTCAGATTAGGAAAAATGCTAGAAGTCCTCTAAGGTTTAGGTTGTAAATTTAGGAGATGGTGTCCTGGATAATTTCCAGAGTGTAAATGGAAGATTCTGGCTCCTGACCTGCATCAAAAGGACATTTGAACAGTGCAGACTCACAGCAGCCATGTTGCAGCTTCTGCCTCTCCGTCTCCAGGGGTTTTTTTTTCCAATAAGAAGAGTCGATGTACCTCAATTAAAATATCCAGATGTACATTTTATAAATTTACTACTGCAGTTTTAAAAGACATCAGGGATTTTTGTCACATAATTTTCTTAATTTATAAAGCTTCTGGACCTATTTCATCCAATTTGAACCTTAAAAATGTCAAAGAACATCAGTGTTTGAGATTTATGCTTTTTAGTTGAAAATTTTATTCAATTTTCTTGAAAAACTGATAACTTTTCTACATTAGCAGTTATGTGTAAATTGCAAATATGTCGGAAAAAATCTACTAGTTTTATTTTTTTTACCAGTTTATAGTCAATTTGCTCCTCTGTCGTCACATTTAGGGTCAGCAGAATGCAGATTTTAATCCATAGTTCTGAATTTCTTTTCTCCTCTTCTTATTTCTGCGTTGCAGACAACTTTTACGGAACCCCAAAGCCTCCAGCTGAGCCCAGCGCTCTGCTGCTAAATGTAACGGACCAGCTGCTGCCGGGCGCCAGACCCAGCTCCGAGGGCAAAAGAAAGCGGAACAAGTCAGTCAGCAACATGGAGAAAGCCAGCATCGAGCCCCCTGAGGAGGAGGAGGAGGAAAAGCCCATCGTCAATGGCAACGGCGTCGCCGTCACTCCAGGTAAGAACCCCTTCAGCGAAGGACGACCCGGCATTGTCACACCGGCCAGACCGAGGTCCTGAATCAGTTTAAAGTTAGATGCTCAGCTTCCTCAAAGGTGGTTGCTTAGCAACAGTAAAGCGCCTCCTTCGTACGAGTTTCTGTAAATATAAAATTGCTTTAATTTTTTTTTACGGAATCGTTTTATTCACTTAATAATGACATGAATTTACTGCCTGAATAATTACATTTGTAGTAAAAACATCAGATCCAACCTGAGCCTGCAGGCCTGGTACAGGGCAAAAACTGACACTAGCTCATGTTTATATATTTATAGAAATGGCTAAAACACTTTCACATGGTGTTTTATGCACACGCCTTTAAAATGAGCTATTTAAAATGCTTTAAAATTTCTGAAATATGTAAAAAAAAAAAAATCACAAATAATTTCTGGAATAATGAATTTTTGAACTTTTAGCATCATGCCAAAATCATATTTCCACATAGCACGTGGCCCAATAAAACCTTTGTAGAAAAAACATATTTAGTCCACATTTGCTTAAGTTAAAGTCAAGATGTGGATCTATGAAGTCTTAACCTGACTCCACCAGATGGATATGCGGCGCAAATCCATCTGGAAACCTTCCGTTGAAGTCATTTTGGGAAGGGGCGAAAATACTGGTTAGCCGATTGGCCTATGTTGGTGATAGACGGGCCAAATAAACTAATCAGATCAATGAAGCATATGACGTACTAACAGCCAGGCTACTCTTGCCGAAACCAGTCGGGAGAAGGGCAAAAACATCTTTTCCTCTGAGAAAAGCCTCCAGAGCAGTGTTTTGCTCTTCTTTCAGTGAACAAATACTCTGTAATTCCGATAAAACCTGCTCGATAGCCACGCTAGTTTCATCGGCTGAAGCCGCCATGTTCTTTAGACTGAACTGTCGCGCTTCTCGTTGCGTCACACCTCAACCCGCCTCAAAGCCAACGCTGATTGGACGTTCGTTTGGTGAACGGCTCCAAATTTTCTTCAACGGAGAGTCTCCAGACTGATCTGCGAGTGAAATCTTGAAAGCTCGCGAGATCAGGGTGGTCTCACGAGGCTAGCACGACTTTACTCTATTGGGTTTCATGTTTTTTTTGGAGTGTTTATTTTGAAAATATTTTTCATTTTTTCTTTGTTTAATCACCTATAAATCAGACATGGTGACATTTAAAATAGTGGTTCCACCTGAAATAATATTCCTCAATGCCTTTCTGTTATACAAATAAAAACAATAGTATTTCCAATTTATAGTTTGCAGCTGTAGTTGCTATAATTAACATATGTTATTTTAGGCGGAATTTGCTCCTAAGGGGTTAAGTAAGTCTCTACTCCATCTCTAAGAATCAGGAGATAAAGGCAGCTGCTTTGACATTTAGCAAATAGAAAACAGTGATAAAAATTTTAAACTGTTCAAAATCCTTGTTTTATCTGTATATTTGGCAGCGATGAACTTGGTCGCTGCAAATATCAATCCTGAATGACTCTGATTGGTATCTGGGTTTAACAGTTCTACTCTGGACATATGAAGCCTGAATGAAAAGTGCCTTTAAGTTTTTATTAAAAAGCTCTTTAAGCTATCAGCCGACGCACAGTTACTATTACATAGAACAGGATGTTCTGGCTGCTATGATGATAATCAATGGCTTTAATGGGAGCAGACCTTAAGAGACTCACTGTTGATGCCGGAGGTTTTTAATCAGCAGATGATACCTGATGGTTTCCCCTAATATAGACACACAATCATACCTTGAATCATCAGAACTTGATCAACGGAGATTCAGACGCTTTTAAATGCAGGGAAGGCCTCCGAGTGCATCCCTTGATCACATGAACGGGGCTCATAAAAGGCACCATTATGGACTTTTATTTTTCTTATTTCAAATCTCCAACCACTCTGTGGTCCTGTGACTTTCTAAGGAGGCTTTTATAACCTAGGGAAAGTGTTGGAGCACAGAGGCAGTACACAAAAATCAACATGATCAGCTGATGCTTTCAACAGTCTGCAGAAATACGTCTCTACTTTAGAGCGCAAAGTGGTTTGGAAGAAAAGGACGGCCGATCAAAGGATGAAATTTTGGATTTCTCACCATAATGAGCTGAAACACGGTACGGTTATTTATGTCATCCTCAAACGAGTTGTTAGGAATTAAGAATAATTATGTCCAAACATTTATAAAAGTTGCAGCATGCTCAACAATACAGATCTAAAAGCCATTTGTTTTAAGGACAGAAACAAACTGCTGCTAAAAACTATAAAAAGATTATTTAGATTAAAACATTTTGTTTAAAACCCTTAAAGTTAAACTTTTAAAACTATAGATTTGTAATTTTACCAGATATTCCTCTCTGTTACTAAATAAGATCAAAATCTAAATGCACGAGTGTAAAAAAAACTTATTTAAATTGTTTAGAATCAGTATATATATATGGGGTAGTTAATGTGGGATTTTTTAACCCTTTGAAGCCTGAATTGATATGCATTTACGTATAAAAAGACATTTTGTGCCTGTTTTTCCCATTCAATGAGATGCCAAATTAAAATCTTAATATTACTAAATAAATAGAAATGAAGGTGAAGTATATTTTATAACATAATGAGTATTTTTACTCTTAAAATAAGATAATTAGATAATATCCACTTGGAACAAGACAACGCCATTGTTTTTTCTTATTTTAGATGTAAATTGCCTTATGCCATTGGCAAAGTGTATCACTTAACTGCTTAATTCAAGAAATAAATGCTCTTTTTTAAAGAAAAATAAACGTACTTAGATTTCAATGTTTTGCAGTGTATGGCGGCTATTTGCTACACTGCAAAAAGTTGCTGAAAATGAGTAAAAATTTCTTAAAATAAGTCTATTTAACCTTAATATGAGTAGGAAAATAGGATGATTTTCCAATGGAATGAGCATTTTTAACCCTTAAAATAAGATAATTAGATGTTATTCACTTGTAGTAAGAGACTGCAGTTCTTTTTTTTTTTTTTTTTAAATGTATATTGTCACGTTCCAATGGTAAAGTGTCTCACTTACCTACTCAATAAAAAAAAGCTCTTATTTTAAAGGCATACTATGCAACATTTTCCAGTTAATTAATGTGTTCCATAACGTTTTGGATGATTAAATGAGTCGTTTCAGGTCAAACAAAGGTTTTCTCGGCCGCCCTGGTGGTCTGTAGGGGAATTACCGCACTTGCAATTGCAGGAGCCCTCGGCATCGTGAGAGTCGGTCTTGCTTTACGGCGAGAACTACAATCTTTGTTGTTTAGACACATGCATAAAAAATAATATATGAAAACATGGACTAAGATAATTCACTTTGTAAATTAATGAAGATTTTAAGCAGTGCAGCACTTGAGTGAATATGAATAAAATATACAGAATTCAGCTTAAATTATCACTGGAGAGTGAAGTGTACGATCAGATTAAAAGGTTTGTTTTCTCTACATCTAGTGGGTTTTTTTTACTGAGCTATACTTCTTGTTTGCTCTAGTTAATTTTCCTGATTTAGTCCCAGTTTTAGTCCAAGTTAAATAATTATTGCTCAGTTTAGTTTACTAATCTCCTGTTGGATTTTAGGAATAATTGAACCCAGAATAACTAAACTAAATTCTTAGCTTTCAGGTTTGTCTCACAAAGCAATAGGAGGTCCACAAATAGAAAATTAACCATTACATTTTAATTTTTCTAAAGATCCGCCACTCAAGAAAAGACCAACCACATTCAGAGAGGATGTGCAGAAGGACTCAGTTACCTAGGATTGATATAAGAGGAACCAGAGCGATGTTCTTATTTTATTATTACTTATCTTATTCATTTATTCTTATTTTGGTCCATTGAATATGTTTAAAAACTTAAATTCCATCAAAGCTACCAAAATCAGACATCCACAGAAGTGCTGTCTTGTGTCATGCAGAGTTTTTATAGAATCTACAGCCTCTTAGAGGGTCTGCATTGTTGTTTAGCCAAATGTAAAAAATAAAAACTAATAAGACAATAACTTAAGATTTGTAATCGTTAGTAGGGTTGGGAATTGAAAAGATTTTCATGATTCCGATTCCCTTTTCGATTCTATGAAACGATTCGATTCTTTATCGATTCTTTTTTCGATTCCAATTTTGGGGAAAAAGGAGAACAAACAGTTTGATTATCAGCATCAACTTTGTTGCACAATCTTGCAAACTCAACAAGATCAAGATGTCCACAGGAAATGTGAAACTGGAGTAACGTGTTTAAATGAAAAATGAATACAAGAACAAACTTAATAACCAACAATGTCTAATAACAAATGATGGGATAATAACCTATTTTAAATAACAAAAAAATACTAATTATAAAACAGTAGTAGGGAAAATTAACAGTTCTTTTGCAGAAAGATGAGCATATCTACTTTTTCTAGAAGGATACGGGATCTTTCAGCGCTTATGGTGTCTCCAGCCGTGGAGAACACCCTCTCAGATGGGGTGGAGGAAGCCTGCACACAGAGGTAGTTTTCAGCCAGTCCAGATAGCAAGGGCAGCGTATCTTGCTTGTTCCACCACCACAGTGTGGCGCTATCCCTGCAGGGGATGGAGGGCAAGCTTTTATAGAGCTGGATTTCCTGATCTACCCTCTGGGCTAAGGAAAGACGGGGCTTTGATTCACAAAGTGACTGCAGCGCGTTGTCTTCATCCTCCTCCTTTACTTGGTGTGGCGCCATTTTTTTGCTTTCCTTTTTTGCCTAGTCACCTTGTTCTTGCTTACTGAACGCCGTGTGCGTAACTTGCGTAAAAAACGTGACGTAAGTCGTGCTCCCCAGAGCCGGCGCTTTAGGCTCTGGTGCTGCGGGAATCGAAAAAAGAATCGTTCAGCGAGCTGCCAAACGATGCCATGGAATCGGAAAATACGGAACCGGTTCTGAACAGGAACCGGTTTTCGATTCCCATCCCTAATAGTTAGCCTATTAGCAAATATTCACACACAGCGTACTTTGCACAGGATTCGGTTTCAGTGGTTCCTGTATCAGTGCCAGTAATCCAATAATAACTTATTAGTTCCTTTTTGGTTATGTTACTTGAACCTCATAGAATAATTCATTAACAGTTGTGAAATTCTTAGTTTACAGTATATTTAAGATGCAAGTATTTTAATAGTTTCTGCTTTACTTCAGCTCTCTGAAAAATCACCAAAGTATAGAAAATAATGCATATGGTGTGAAAAATTTCAAAATTCTTTCAAAATCTCACTCTAAGGTTTGCTGAATGTTATTCAGCACATTTTAAAATAATAATAAAAAAAACAGCTGGATATAATGTGATTTTATTATGACTTTATCTGAAGAGTTTGACATGAATTGCTTTGATTTGGCTAATTGTTGTCTGTCTGTTTGTTTTATTCTCACCTTACAAAAGCTTCTGTTTGTCTCTCAGCTCAGAGTTTTTACCCACAGCTTCGTATTTTTTCCCCCCAAATGTTATATGAGCTCTGGTGTTATTTGAGGTCAGGGGTGATGGATGTCATTTTAGCCCCGGTCTCTTTGTTATTATCGGGTCATGAACCCTGACTTTAACAGAGACAAGCAGCCCTGCAGGGCTTTGGATGTTGCTCTGGGCTCTGACCTCCTTGATGACCTGCAGATGGAAGGATTTTAGTTCACTGCGGTTCTGTGGAGCCTCAAAGCCTCAGACTTTACTTTTTAATGCTTTCTTGACTTTGTCTCAAATCCATTTTGAAATATTATTGGATCGATGCAGGTTGTGCTGCTTTTAGACTACTTGCTTTTATTGAAAGGGTTTTATTTTAGAGATTTGATTGATTTTTAATAATCAAAAAGCACAAATGATGTTTAATAAACCAAGATTAACAAGTAAAAAAAAAAAAAGATATCTATAAAAGGACAAAAACACACCTGTTAACGTGTTAATATCACACCCTGAATGTGTACAGTTTTAATTAAAAAGTCCTGGCAAAAAGTTTTAAAATTAACTTTTAAACTTTTTGATCTTTATTTTACATAATCATACATATGTGCAGCAGGCTGCTCAGTGCTACTGTGGGTAGCACAAGAAGGTTCTGGGTTCGTTTCCCTATCTTTCTGCATGGAGTTTGCATGTTCTCCCTGTGCATGCGTGGGTTCTCTCCGGGTACTCCGGCTTCCTCCTACAGTCCAAAAACATGACTGTTAGGTTGATTGGCTTCTCTAAATTGTCCTTAGGTGTCTGTGCATGAGTGCTTGTTTGTCCTGTGTGTCTCTGCGATGGACTGGCGACCTGTCCAGGGTGGACCCCGCCCATTGACATTGGAGATAGGCACCAGCACCCCTCGCGACCCCACTCGGGACAAGCATGTAAGAGGATGGATGGACGGATGGATGGATGGATGGATGGATGGATGGATGGACGGATGATGCGGTCGCTTTATAGGACTGGAGGGAGCTGAGACTGGGGGGGGGGGGGGGGGGGCAAAGCCCTTGATTTACCAATCAATCTACTTTCCCGCCCTCACCTATGGTCATGAGATCTGGGTAATGACCGAAATGACAAGATGGTTGAAATGGGTTTCCTTCGCAGGACGGCTTGGAGCACCCTTCGAGATCGGGTGAGGAGCTCAGTTACCCGGGAGGAGCTTGGAGTATAGTCAGGAGTGAGCTGAGGGGGCCGGGGCATCTGTTTCAGGATGCCTCCTGGTCGCCTCCCTCTGGAGGTGTTCCAGGTATGTCACATTGGGAGGAGGCCTTGTGGAAGACCCAGGACCGGCTGGCCTGGTGTCGCCTCAGGGAGCAGCTGGAGGAGGTGTGTCTGGATCTGGAAGTCTGGGAATCTTTGCTTATATGCTGCCTTCACAACTGGCCCCCCGGATAAGCGGAAGAAAATGGATGGATGGATGGATTTGTACTCGCCAAGCTTTCGATACTTTAATTTAATTTGACGAACTGGATCTCCTCGAAGTTCTTTTTTTCTGTTTGGTGCGATCGCAATTGTGGATCTTGACCTGGCCGGACCGGAGCAAAAAATAGCTTGGCTCTGTGTTTTAACGATGACGAGGAAGGAGACGTGCGGAGGAGTAGCGGTGGATGTGGAACAGTTCTCATTGATTAACATGACAGATAAGTACTTTGCACGACGTACGTGAGCAGAGCGGATGTGGAAGCAGTCCCACTTGACCGGTACCAGGTGCAATCTGATTGCCTTGGTTATCTGCCCCACCTGATTGACTAAAACATCAGCTCACATTTAGTTAATCCAAGCAATTCCTGCAAAATGAATGTTGGATGCAGAAATATTGAGATACTGTGAGTAAAATTTTGCAAGATGTTATGCATCTCTAAATTATCTGGAAATGTTATGTGTGTGTTCCTTCCAATTAGTTAAATTAAATGAATTGGTTATTACACTGCAAAAACAATCTGGAAACGAGTAAAAATGTCTTAAAATTAGTGTATTTAGCATAATTCAAGCAAGTAAATAATAAGATTTGCCAATGGAATGAGTATTTTTACTCTTAAAATAAGATAATTAGATAATATCCACTTGGAATAAGACAACGCAATTGTTTTTTCTTATTTTAGATATAAATTGCCTTATTCCATTGGCAAAGTGTATCACTTAACTGCTTAATTCAAGACAGAAATGCTCTTTTTTTTAAGAAAAATAAACTTACTTAGATTTCAATTTTTTGCAGTGTAAGATTTGAAATAATTCAAAGTTATAAATAAAATGACTAATCTACAGAAAACCATAAGAGTTGGAGTTAAAAAATGATGTTTTCAGACTGTGCATGAATCATAAACTGTAGAGGCTATATAACCTCATGTGGAAATGATGTAAATTTTGCTCTAAACGTTTCAGATTAGTCTAAACGCAGGCTTTGCTAGGAGCTAAACCGAGACAGGAGAGCAGGAAATATTCCCAGTGGGTTCCTTTCGGTGGTGTAAGGATGCTCAGTAACTTCTGCCTCTGGGCTCTGAGCATGTTGGATGTGGAGCTTTCCTGCCGCTGCTTTCGGCTCAATAGGAGCCGCGTGTGTCTGTAGATGGACAGTATGGTCGGACCGGCACAGCTGAAGGGGAATCAATAGAGCACAGCGGTCTCTGTGATCTGAGCGGGTCTCTAACTCTCACTTTCCTTCCCTTAGATTATCTCTCAATCCCTTTGCTTTCATTCGTCCCCTTCTCTCCGCTTCCTCCAGATCTCCTCTGGGAAAGAGGCATTTGCCATCTCTTCCCATTTTTCTTCCTGTGACACTTTCACACACTACCACAACTCAAAGTAGAGCATCCATGCCTGCTTCTGTCTCAATCTTTACTGTCTCCTCTCCTTTATTCATCTTTCTGTCTCGTTAGCCTCCCTCTCCTTCCCCTGAGTCACTGCTTCCTTTTCCAATCCCTAGTTCCTTTATTTATGCCTCCATCCTGGCTCAATCCGTCACTTTCTTGTTTCGTTTTATCACATTCTTCGTCTTCTTTCACTGTCCTCTCCTCACCTCTTGTCCGTCCCTTCTGAGAACGTCAGTTTTGATTCATCCCTGCCTTGCTGTCGCCTCAGAGTCGAGCGAACAAGAGGACAAGAGCACGGATGCTTCGGGGGACGTCGCACCTCAGAGCAACCCAGCAGAGGCCCCAGCAGAGGTGACCCAAGAGGACGGCCAGTCCCCGAAGATGGTGGTCCCCAAACCAGAGGAAAATGACGAGCTTGGACCCCTGCCTGACAACTGGGAGATGGCTTACACTGAGAAAGGAGAAGTCTACTTCATTGAGTGAGTTTCATCAGTGTTTACTCTCTACCACGTAGAAGTTTATATGTAGGAAACAGATTCCAGTTTGTTTTAAGCCGGGCATACACTGTACGATTTTTTTAAATCGTTGCCAGCAGCTACAGCTCAGATGATGACGAAACCGCAGGGTTTAGAAGTTCACATCTCACGATGTTTGTTCTCACCCTGTACGACCCGACGCCCTGATGCGATCTACCTGCTCACACTGTACGTCTAAAAATCAGGTGGGACTCCACTCCGCAGTGAGATGGCGCCACTTGTACTCGTCTATCCGGAAGCCACTAGAGTGAAACTCGCTACCTTGGCAATTTGTGCATATTTGTGCTGAAAGCCCTAAAAAGAAAAAGCGTATTTGGACAAAGGCTTGACTGAGCAGACACGGCTACTACGGTTTGTCAATTTTACAGAAATAACTAAATTTTACTCGCACCTCCGCCATGTTCTGGGTTTTTATCTGAGAGGAAGAAGAAGAATCCTTTTTTGCGCACTGAGAGATTTGCCCACACTGCAAAAACGATCTAAATATGAGTAAAAATATCTTAAATTAAGTGTATCTACCCTTAATTTGAGCAGGTAAATGAGATGATTTGCCAATGGAATGAGGATTTTTACTCTTTAAATAAGATAATTAGATAATATGCACTTGAAATAAGACAATATACTTGTTTTTTTCTTATTTTTAGGGATGCACGATATTGGGATTTTGGCCGATATCCGATATTTTAAAACTCATGTAGCCGATAGCCGATATCGATACCGATGTTAAAGCTGGACAAAAATAAGTAGTCATTGAAAATAGCAGTTTTGTTATCCATTTCTGACACTTTGAAAAATAATATACTCAAATATATTTTCATATGCTGATATCAAATTGATTTTTAAAAAACGCGGTATCGATCTATTTTACTTTCAAAATCTCGTGAAATTTCATCGTTCTGTTACAAACTATGGTGATATTTTGCAAATTCTTGTGAGATTTTGTTAGTAAAATAGATCGATACCGCGTCAATTATCAACATATAAAAATATGGCAAAATTTTGTGAATTTTCGGGGGATTTCGTAGCATAACGATGACATATAGCAATATTTCATTAGTAAAAGAGATTGATATGGTGTTTTTAAATGGCAATATATCAGCATATGAAGATATTGGGATATTTTAATGTATCATTATTTTTTCCCTCGTCTTTAGAAGTTTTTAAGTCTGTAAAAAAGTTTTTGAGGAAGAAGAAGAAGTAGTTTTGTTTTGTTTTTTCTAGACTTTAGAAACTCAGAAGCTGATCAAATATCGGGTTAAATATCAGTGGGGTGGCCGATGTCCGATATTCAGTTTTAAGGCCGATACCGATAGGGGGCCGATTATATCGTGCATCCCTACTTATTTTAAATGTAAATTCTCTGGTTTCATTGGCAAAGTCTCTCCCTTACCTCCTTAATTCAAGAAGAAATTCACTTATTTTAAGAAAAATTGACATATTGAGATTTAAATATTTTGCAGTGCACGACCACCTTACGACGGCCGACTTATTTGCTCCGCATATCCATCTGGAAACCTTCCGTTGAAGTAATTTTGGGAAGGGGTGAAAATACTGGTTAGCTGATTGGCCTATGTTGGTGATAGACGGGCCAAATAAACCAATCAGATCAACGCACCATATGACGTACTAACAGACCGACGACGAAAAACACAACCACAAGCCAGGCTACTCTTGCTGAAACCAGTCGGGAGAAGAGTAAAAACATCTTGTCCTCTGAGAAAAGCCTCCAGAGCAGTGTTTTGCTCTTCTTTCAGTGAAGAAATACTCTGTAATTCCGATAAAACTTGCTCGATAGCCACGCTAACGCTAGTTTCATCGGCTGAAGCTGCCATGTTCTTTAGACTGAACTGTCGCGCTTCTCGTTGCGTCACACCTCAACCCGCCTCAAAGCCAACGCTGATTGGACGTTCGTTTGGTGAACGGCTCCAAATTTTCTTCAACGGAGAGTCTCCAGACTGATTAGCGAGTGAAATCTTGAAAGCTCGTGAGATCAGGATGGTCTCATGAGGCTATCATTACCCCTGTACACCACATGATGCATGATCAGGCTGAAAGTCGGCCCGATCGAAAAAATTCTCGCACGAAAAAAAACGGAAAATCAGCCTGGAAAGGGCAAACAAATCGTACAGTTTATGCCCGGGTTCTTCCTTCCACTTTTCTTGTATCATTGTGGATCTTTGTTGCTCTTCCAGAGTTACATCGAGCCTCTTAGCTGCCTCTTTGGTGAATCCAGTTTCCTGTCTAGGGCTAGGGATGGATTCAAATGTCAAGAATAGATTTAATTCCAATTCTCAAGATTTATAATCGATTCTACTGATCCAATCTGTCCTAATCTGACCTCAGACTGAATAGTTTCTATTAAAACCTTTTGTTTTTTGGGTCTACTGTTCAATATACAGTAATACTGTTGCAGCATTTTAACACATTCAACAGCAAATTAATGCAAAGTTACAGTATTCAGCTGCACATTTAAGGTCACTTTGCTTTAAAAATTGCACAGTTATCACTGTTTACATAAATCCCTAAACATGGAGGAATCTTAAAACTGAACTCATTCTGTGGAGCGCGGTGGTTTCTAAAGTTTTCCCACTGATCCCAAATATTTGATCATTTTTGATCAAATGCTGCTAAAACATGGGAGCTAAACACAGAAAGGCTCACAATCCTGTACCTCACTAGAGATATGATAAAAAAAACATAAATGAACGTTTCTCTACCCATTGGTTTCAACTCTATAGCATTTTTATTTCACAAAAGTAAGATTCAGGTTAGAAATATGTCAGATTTATTTTTCTTCTGCACATTAAGAATGTTCTTTTTCCTGAGCTACAAAGGTTGGATTTATTTTAGATACCTTGCAAAAGCATTCAATGTTCTGCTGAACTATCACCGTGTTTAATGTTTGAGAGCTGAATAGCAGCAAATCTGCGGCTATTGATTGGTTGAAATATCTTACATTCACTCCATAATAACACCATTTTGGGGTTAATAAATACGGTTCAAATGGAAAGAGTGAATTTTCAAAGAATGAGATGGAAAAAGTGGAACTAGAGAAATAGAAAGGGTTTTGGAGGACCCACTTTGATGCTGTCCTTGCTCGGCCTGTGAGGTAGATGGACAAACTCTATCTTACCCACAGTTTTTCAGCCTCACTGAGTTACTTAGTAATAATCCATCTCAGAAAACAAATAGATAAACTTCTTACTGTTTTTTAAATGTTTAAAAACGCTGTTTCAGATGTCCAGACATTTTTTCCTGACTTTCTGAAATATGTTTTTGCATACATTAAAGGGGAACACTGTTTTTTTTACGTTGGCCCCCTTCATTTGATCTTATTCCATCATGTTCAACTCACCCATATTAGTTTTGTATTATTTGGAGCCGTTCTGAAGATATTCCTTTAGGTTATATCCAGGTAACATCTTCCTATGGGCGACGACTTGAAGGCACAAACTAAACTGTTCATAATTTATTCAAAATGTCAGAAATAGTGTTTGTTAGGCTACTCTGTAAAGCCTAAAACTCAACCCTATTTCTGACGTTTTGAAATAAAAAAGCTTCCTGGATGGGAATCAAATCGTCTTTAAACTTAGAAACAAAGTCCAGTCGATTGTTTTTTTTAGTTTTTTGGAATGGCTATAATCTGGATAACTGGGCATCTTCACAAGCACAACTCTTATTGGAATTATTGTAGTTTCACAGCTTAAATTGTGTTGCCCTTTGAGTTAAGCTCATCACCCAGAGGGCATAATTAAAACAAAGCTAGTTTTTTTTAAAGTAAGCCATGTCATTTTTCATTTTTTATTATGAAACGAAAGAAAAAAAAGCATAAATAAATCAGATATGGTAGAAAAACTGATATTTTTATGCTACATTGATCCGCCCTACTACTATCTCTTCTAACAGAAGGTCTCCTCTCTTTTTCATTATTAAGATTTCTGACAGTAGTAGTAAAGGTTGTCTCTTTACATCACAAATCCTTGCCAACGATTTTAATATGCTTTTTTTTTTTTTTTTTTTTTTTTTACAATGTCCTGTCTGGCAATGTGGCAATAAGAATAATTATATCTATGCCAAAAAGAGCCCAACAGATTTTGCTTTCACAAGTGGAGCAGTACGGCTATCGCCATATTGTTCCGCTGGATTTATCCATATAAATATCTTTATTATAATTCATGCAGGGAGTTTTACAGATTATATGGACACTGCAATGTAAGAACAGAAAAGGGAAAAAAGGAGAAAAGATGAAAGAAAGAGGAGATAAAAGGGAGATAACGATAAAATGCTTAAGTTATATTTATTTGACTGAAATTCTTATGTCTGTCAAGATCTATAGACCAGATGATTTTTATTTGGATACATGTGGTCCATCAATGAACAATAAAATCAAAGAATGACTGTATGACATTGTCCTACACGGATAAGAGAAGTAAAATAAATTAAACCTGGATTTTCCACTCATGCTAACAAACATGGGTCTGTATACTTGTCTAGATTTTTTCTTATTCACCCCTATGAATGTGAAGCACAGCAGCATTTTATGAATGACGAGTCTTTTTATCACTCCGGTTAGAAAAGAGTGTCTAAGAAAAATCTAATTATCGTTATCCCCCTGTTAAACAGGAAGCCATGGACGAATAATCAAATGTTCTTAGACAGTCTGATGGATTAGGAGGAGGAAAAAGGAAAGTATTTTATATATTTTCATTGAATCTTTTTCCGTACAGAATGAATTAGCTCCAAATAAATATCATTTTTTAATGTTTTCTTTTCATTGCAGTGATGTGCTACTATAACTACAGATTAACTTAATTTAAAGCTTTTTGTACATTGTCACCAGGGGTTCAGATAAATGTTTAGGAGGATTAAAATGTTAATAAAATGAATTCCTGTCTTAATTGTTTTGGTCTAATTTAACACAGAAAGGAGGAGTTCATATGCTG